CTAAATGCATATGAATAAGGCTACCATACTTTTGTTCAATACATTTGTAGGTACAACTGATGACAGCATGTCAACTTACAAAAGTAACAAATCAAAATATTGATTACAGTAGAAACTGTGAGAACCAGAGTAATTAATTTATTACATTAATGCATAGTGCAAGGATAACTTTGGAATAAAATAGAATAAGTTTATTTGCCGCTCATTAATGAATTCAGCAATAATAAATCATAATAGGATCTTAGCTAATTAAATTTAAAAAAAAATGACAGAAATTCAACTTGAGCTGACTCTTTCGACACTGATTTTCAGCAGTAGACCTTTATTTTTATGTTTTTCCACTCATCGGTCTCATAATATGAATGAATATAAATATGTCGGCGCCGGACACAGATGCTGCAAATTATTATTGATGATTAATAGTACTAGTAGATTACTACTTAGTATACTAGTAATAGTAGATTATAAATCTGTACAGCGGAAGGTTTGTGATTCCTAAACGTAACACCTGACTAATGCGCAGAAAAAGGTAACTGTCAATCAGTTGTATCATGTCAAGTGTGAGCAAGCGGCTACGAGGTTATCTTTGAAAGTGTATTGAGTTTGGTGGAACGTTAAATTGTAGGGAACGTGATTGTCAACCATCCAACATATTACCTCCTTGCCCGCTAACCCACGCCAATGGAGATTCCACCCCTAGAGTTCCTTCTGATAGAGACCCAGTGCCTTTAAATATAACAAGCTGGAGTAATACTAATTTATAAAGAAGCTACTGCAATTTTGCACCTTACATTTCTCAAATTTATCAATAACACAGTTAAGCCTAATATAATGGTCAAACTGAGTTGAACACTCTGGCTCTCATACATTCAATTATTTATTTTTAACCTTTAACTACTGACGTGGGGGCCTCTCAGGCCTTCAAAAAGTCAAATTGTAGAATTTCTCCTCTCCCACGTGCACGACACACGCGAATCTTTTAGTACCTTCGAGTTTCATTGCGCCGAGGCTGTCAACAACTGTGCACCTGATTGCACGCGCAATTTCAGTAGGTAAATTAATTTTAAAGTTTCTTGTGGGCCTCTCAGGCCCCCACCTCAGTATTGGCGTAACTTTTTTTGTCTATAGTTTTCTTTTAGTTGTCGTCTGTTCTTAAAATAATTTGAAAAAATCTATAATATGGAGCCCACAGTANTGCAGTATTTAACTGCCTAAATAATAATAAAAACACAGAATGTACTTTTTTAAGTTGCCTCAAGACACTGAGAGGTAAATAAGTAGTTAATATTATTCATGATAATTCATGCTAAATCATGTATTTCCTCCGCCATTTTCCGCAGTTTGGCACCTCACGTCACATCATTTTACCGAAGTCAGCCCTATAGCTTCGGCGCAGTGCCGATCACTGACGTTTGTCAACAAAATGGTGCTTGACTCTTGAGACAGGCTAAATTACACCACATTGTTAATGACATTGAGCATACATTTTTTTAAATACCTTCGCGAAGTAAAACTTCTGTACGTAGTACTTATTATTATTCTGTGATTATAGCATCTTAGCTAATTAAACTTTTAAAAATGTTAAAATGCACATCTTGAGCAGACCCTAGGTCACCTTTGACACTGATTTTTTTTCCATTCATATGTTCCATAATATGAATAAAGAAGTTACTGCTATTCTGCTCTCCTTACAGTATTTCTCAAATAAGTTTTATAAAAACACAGCCTAATGGTCAAACTGAATTGAACACTCTGGTTCTCATACCCTCAATTATTTTCAATAGCATCTACCTCCTTTATCACACAGTAAATCTATATCGTTTTCATCAATAATATCGTTTTCATTGCAATCTAAACATAACACTATAAGGCTTAGTTGCACCATCTTACTTTAACTTTGAACAACAAAAGTGTGTCAAACTCCATAAAAACACTGGATATTGTTATAATTACTGTTAAATTTAGGTGGTGCAACTCAGCCTAATGCCCGTTTTCACCATCAATCCCCAATTTTTAAGTGACCGCTATGTAAACAAAATTCCTGTCATTTGTTACCATAGGGATCACTCAAAAATTAGGGATTGATGGCGAAAACGGGCATAAGTAACCTAAACTGACATAAAAAATAACCTCAACTTACTTGGATGTGATCGATGACCAGCCTGTCAACATCAAGACCTTTGTAGTCAGCGTTAGATTCAGCGTTCCTCAAAAGCTGCAGCAGGNGCAGCAAGAATTCTGCGGACTTCTTGGGCCAGCGTCCCTGTGTGGTTCCGAACTGCTTGGCCTGGGCGCATCGGCCCACCCCACCGTTGAAGCGGCGGAAAGGAATGCACTCTTTCTGGTCAACAACGTTCTTCAGGTAGCGGACAGCACGGCGCAGGGGCAGTTTCCTGATCGCCATCGCTGTCTCGTATGTGTTCTGGAATTATTTGATACATTTCTAAGAAGTTGCATTGTGTAAAAACTTTGATACAATAGTTGGGGGTACTTTACTACATAGGCATTGCAATAACTGCTTGTTTACATGGCAAAACAAATGGCATTTGTTAGTTTTAGGTTATAAATACACAGTAGACTTTAGAGACAGTAAGAACCGATCGGAGTTGGAAGTATCAGGCGAGGATTAACACCACGGCGGTAGTAAACAATACATGTGGAGATGAAAGTCACAAATTATCACGCACCTTGAAGTGAACACGCAGGTTGGAGCCACGCGCTTTGCATGACTTAGCTGGGTTATCCGGTTCCCGAGAGTAACGACCCATTTTGCTTCTGAAACAGAGCGGCTCGAATCAAACACCATACAATAAAGGTTAGGATTAAACTTTCACATATTTGCACTCTTCCACAAAAATAAACACGTAAACTCGTGGGGAACTTTGCTATTTTGAACGCCATGATCAGATTTTGAGAAAAGTTAAATACTTTTTGTGATAAAAAAGGATTTAGATCAACACGAAACCAACCTCTCAGGAGAAAATTTATCAAGGAAAAGGAATAGACAAAGCTATTTGACAGTTTGGATGACAGTGACGTTGACGTAAAGTTTTTAAAAACAAGTACTGGCATTGGACTATGACAACTTTATCCAAACATGAACAACCATAGACAAGATTTGGATGGCGAGATTTTTGATTCCTCCTTTTATTTATTTTTAAGGAATTAAAAAAAATATTACTGGAATATTTGAAACCGTGACTTGAAAAGAAAAGTGTTTTAAAGTCCAATTAAGTTTTTGTTTTATATTTTCTTTTTAATTAGTGGAATGTAGTAATCTATCTATATAAATAAAAATGAATTGATGTTCGTTAGTTTGATTAAAACTCGAGAACGGCTGGGCCGATTGAGCTGATATTGGTTTTAAAAATGTTTGTCGTAGTCCAGGGTAGGTCTAAACGGTGAGCAAATAGGCGCGCGATATTGTTTTTCTGTGACAGACAAAAGCGACAGCGGGCGAAGCCGCGGGCGGAAAGCTAGTGCTAAATAAAACAAAGTAAGTTATTTTATTTTAATTGATACAAACGAACGATAACAAAACCAATAAAATTATTTTCTTAACCAGACCAAGCTACGACATCGCTGACTGTGCCGGGAAAAGTAAACGCAAACGTCTTGTTGCGTAGTCGGACTAACAAGTTCTATCTGTCTGGCTTGCAAACATTTAATACTAGCTTTTTGTGAAATTTTGTTGGTCACAGATCGTCATAAATTATAGCCTATATGTTATTCTGGGTTATAAACATTAATACTGTAAAGTTTCATCAAAATCCGCTGAGCAGTTTTTGCGTGAAAGAGTAACAAACATCCAGACATCCAAACTTTCGCATTTATAATATAAATAGGATAATAGGATTAATAGGATTATTATATACGTTATTTTAAATTGAACACAAACTACATTAGTGTAGATACGTTCGCCATTCAACTTTCGTTGCGCCACCTACGATTGCAGATGTTAGTTCCATAAATGATAATTATTTTACTAAGTCAGATGGTATTAATAACGGTAAAAAAAGGAAAGACGATCTGGGTGATAGTTAAAAAAAACAATATTTCTTGTATGTAGGTGTTTATTATGTGCAACTAGTCTAAATAAATACATAGATAAGTAAGCAATAATACAAAATTACAATAATTTTCACATTAAAGTATTTTGATATGTTTACAGACGATAAATGCTAGTAAGTATCTTTATTCATTTTCTATAGTGCCTATAAATATTACATTTCCCATAAATTTTGTTAAAAAGCAGCATCGTTAACTTAGTATACAAAAAAAACATTGGTTACATATTTTATTGCCAGTATTTAAACGAGTATTGATTTAAGAATATTATTAGGATGGATTAGGTACTCAGTTATTTACATTTTATCAATACCTACCTATCTAATGTATTATGTGAAGTATAATATCGGCTAATCAATGTTAACCTCGTTCTAACCTACATTCTATGTAATAAGTAGTTACTTACACAAAATTGAATTTTTTTTAGCATGGCCCATAATAATTCTACGGAAATACAATATTTTTATAGTGCTAATATGACAGTCTACTATTTACATTGTAATAAATATGGTTTGTAGCAATGTTACAGGAACCTAAATGTATACAAAATAGGTCACAGGTCTTTAAAATTAACACAGCAATAGATTCAATGCGACTAGTATTGACTAGAGTATTTTCATTAAACTAATTACATTTTTACCTACATTTTTAATGAATTCAATTCATTACGATTGCTTTTTTGGTTTCACTATATTAATAATTTAAAATAACGTATCTACAATATTTCTACAAGAAAGTAGCCGTCTTATCACTTCCTGAAAAAGTGCTTTCGAATTAATGTCTTGTCGCAAATCGGATTATAACTATAACTCTTCGCATTTTGTAATAGTCAAATCCTGTACAAATAAATTCTTTAAATATAAAACAAAAAATATGTTGTCATTTTACTGATTCTACAACTTGTAACATAAGCACATAAGCACCAGCGCCATCTGGATTTTGCTTTCATTGACCGGCCAAAGTGGTTTTGTCCAAGGCCATAATCATTGGGGAAAAAAATAGTAATGTCATTGTTTCGGCTGCTTTGGCGCGAAATTTAGAAAAAGTTTCGAACAATTTCATGAAGTTTTTTTAATTACAATGATTTAGTGCTAATGAGGCGCAGGTGCAGGAGGGGGCAGCAGTGGCAGTGGAGCAACACATGCAGCGCAACCGTCTCTTTCTGTAACAACAAAATTAAATCAGACTAGGTAAGTAAAATTAGGTACCTATGTATTAGAGGCGGGTGTTGTAATAAATCTAATTTACTTAAAATTCAATGAACTTAAATAAACCCGTTATTTTAGATCTCAATTCTTTTGTGGGATAATTCAAAAACATTTAATCTTAACTTAAGACATTCTTCGTGTATTCCTGTTGTCCCCTACAAACTTGTTTGGTTTTTATACCTTGGTAACCACGGGGATTTCAATAGCGGATATCTCGCAACTTTTTTTTCCGATGTCCGCCAGTGTAGGACAAATGGAGACATGCCCAATTGCCCATTTTTATAACTATTTCTGGATGGGGATGGGATATTTTCTTCTGTGCAGAGCGCTCATCTCTGGAAGGTTGTAAGAACAAAATTTTTACTCCCCATTGTTTATTACTCCTTCCATGAAGCAGTTTCTGGAAGGTTCTTGTTATTATCTATAATAATAATAAATAAATAATAATAATAATAAATAATCTTTATTCACAAATATCATTTCCTGTGATGTAATAAACCACAGCTTCTGCACTAGGCTCGCAGGCCTGTGTCGCAGTAGTTGTGTTGAGTGAGCATTACAGATTACATTTTTACATTAAATATACAGCTCCGATTCCTTATCAGGTGACTAATATTTGGTATATCTTACCACGATCCCGCATGTAATGCAGCGCGGGCCGCAGGTCGGGCAGCCGCCAGGGCTCCACGCGGGCTTCGTCTTCGCGCTCCACCTTGGGCACGAGGGCGCTCCAGCAAGACTCGTCGGGCCGCGGCGGCGCGGTGTGGCACGACCACGAACACGTCTGAAACAAATTGTAAGTAAAATTAATAATGTACCTTAGCTATTTATAATATGTATTAGAATACTCTACTAAATTATATTCTTACACCAACATTAATTGTATGAAATATAGGAAACTGCGTATTTTTCTGTTGTTTGATGCAAGAGCTGTAAGTAAATTATTAACTGTCACAAGTTACACAGTAAAAGAAATCTTTGCCATTCAATTATAATAAGGCGCTAGGGAGTAGGAATTTAACTACATTTCCAGCTACCTATTTTCGTTTTTTATCTCGCTCTCATCAAATGGAGATTCTTTGCGATAGAACGAGACAACATGTCCGGAAATGGTTAGGACTAGAAGTGTGGCCCTTAAGTTAAATAAACATAAACATTCATTCTTAACTCACATATAAAAATAACTGGAAAGTTAAGAAACAAGTTTATGAGCAGTGCAGAGCTATTTCATAAAAAACCTCAGAATACAGAACAAACTCTGTATTCTGAGTAAAAAACATATTAATTTCAACAAATGCAAAATTCTCATAAATTACAGAAACCTTTTCAAAGTTAAAAAAAAGTGTAGGTAATTATCAAAGCACACTTAAAGTTCAGTTCCACTCCACGATCGATGTTATATTTAAGGGCAATTATCTAAAGCGGAGCGATCGAGTTAAAAATCGTTTGTTGTTACGTGCGCGCGTATCTGATGCCACACGCTCTCTACAGTGCTATCACTTAACTAATAACGACTATTACCCACATTCACAGCGATTTGTGGCGGTTCCCAAACTTATAAGTTCAGTAAAATTAGTTTTATGTGTTTTGACGACTTTGTGTTAAGACGATTCATGCAGACAGGCCCCTCTTTCCCACTGGGCACTCTGGGCTCCGCGATCGAGGAGGCCCCGTTTGTTCTCATAAAAGATCTTTTTCTAGATGAGAAGGGCCTCCCTTGATCCTTATGTGCCCAGCCAGGGCCCCTGTAGGTTAAAAACGGCCCTGCATACAATTAATAATGTAGGTAAGTAATGTAAGGTATGAACGTTCCTTATAAAATACTTATCGTAGTAAGTAGGTCTGTATGTCTACGTTGATGGGAGTTCCCGTGAAATTAACCTTAATGAATCATTTAATGCTTGCATACGTCACAAATAATTATCAAGTGAAGAAACAGCTTAATATGTTTAGGTAGCTGTTTTAATATCATTTAATTAAAGCAAAGTTTGGGAAAGCGTTTTCATACTCCACACGCGTGTGACAGTGGCGCCCACTAGACAAAGCTCGTGGTAATTATTGTTGTTTCATTTAAAAGCAATCGGTGCAACGTAGACTTCATAATGAATAGACATGGCAAAGTTATTATTACAAGAAAAGGAAAATTCACGAAGTCTTCGATATATTATGTAGAGCCGGATTCTACGAATTTTTAAAAATAAGTGCTAATGAAATAGCTGGAAAATGGTAAGTATTCCACGACCACGACGTCTTTTTACCTAACAGCAACCACCAATAAAGGTTATTATATCATGGCTGATAGACTGTGTTTCATTAGCACGAATACCTACCTAACTCCTTTGTCGTTTTTAAGTGTGCGGTGTGGAATGTGTGGTTATCGGCGCATTCAGCTTTCAAAAAGCGAGTAAGTCGCTGATGCTAAAAGTATGCTATGGCTCTAAATTCCACAAAATAAACTAAACTTCTATGTCACCATGTCAATTGCCAGCTCTAAATCTCATTCGCTCTACACCTCACACCTATAAACAATTCATGAGTGGTTCCGTATAATTATTTACGTAACCAACGCGCGCAGTGCTTCAATAATAAATCGCTCGCCGATTACCGTGTCGCATGCGATCCGCGCGGACCAGCTAACTCTATCATGTCGGTGATTTTAAATGTACTAATGCAATTTGAGGCACGCTACATTGTCATACATTGTATGTCAGATACAGATGGATAAGTACAATGGTAGTAGGACAATATTTAAAAAATAATATTCTGTTCACATGTCCCTCTTTTGTAATTTAATCTGCTGGACAGGACCCAATCTGTAGACAAAATAGGGAACACTCGATTGCGATCTAAAATCGTGATTGTTTCTAGCCACCAAATAAAGATCTACCACTAAGTATTCGGACACTTCTTTTAGTGCCATAGATAATTTTATGTCAATGTTAGTCATTCCACTTTATTTGCAAACATTACAAAAATCTATTGGCGCGAACTTTACGCATCAATATTGACTGATACTTTTATCAAACCCCTATCGATGTATACTACATCCACTGAATAGCAAAATTAATGTTCCGCACACGCTGCCACCAATAAAAACGGCAAATGCCACTTCCCAAATGAGTAAATAAAAAGCTCAAATGCCATCGCGGCATTTGACTCGCTGTTAAAACGAACGGAATAAGAATTACGATGTTGACGTAATGATTGTGACCTAATGGTTACAGTTGGACTTTTTATGATAGTGGAGAAACTGGATTGGATTCTTTAGTTAAATAAAATTATGTAGTAAAATATGCAAGTTTTGTTTCATATACTAATTACCTAGTTAAGTGCTTACATTGTGCGATTTTTGAAAATTGGCATCGATCATTAAGCTACATCCAAGCACACAATCATCATCATCTCAGCCATAGGAAGTCCACTGCTGAACATAGGCCTCCCCCAATGCTTTCCATGTTACCCGGTTGGTAGCGGCCTGCGTCCAGCGCCTTCCTGCTCCTTAATACAATAAGGAATTTAGGTAAGTACAAAATCCGGGTTGATGCAAGGAACCATACCCGCTCTGATTTTTAAATTGGCTAACAATAAGAAAATAATTACATTGATTGCATAATAGGTAGTCTTAACATAACTCTAATGTAACTTCATATTTATAATACGCGTATTGTACTAAAATACTATTAATAATCTAAACATAATTATAGTATAACTCAAAGGTGACTGACTGACTGACTGACATAGTGATCTATGAATGCACAGCCCAAACCACTGGACTGATCGGGCTGAAATTTGGCATGCAGGTAGATGTTATTAATGACTTAGGCATCCGCTAAGAAAGGATTAAGAACTCCATCCCTAAGGGGGTAAAACGGGATCCACGCGTACGAAGTCGCGGGCGGCCGCTAGTTTTACATAAAGTAGAACAAAATAACATTACAACTTCAAAAACAAATTCAAAAGCCATTAACATTGGGCATTTAATTTAATCAGATTGTGGCGTTCGGTGACTTTGTATTTCTGAACGCACCTCAAAAACTTGTCCTGTCAAAATCTGACATTTGACAGATCATTTTTCTCGACCGCCACTACTTTTGGCGCCTTGGAAAAACAACGCTACCATCCGTTGATTTCTGTGTAAATACTTGTAAAATACATCACAACTCGCCGTATAACACTTGTGTATACGCCTCGTTAACCAGTGCCATCGCTATACAATCACATGTACGTGTCCTCGTTGTGTAAACCACCTGCTACTGCTGTTTACAATATACACCGTGTAACACTAACCGGAGTTTGATTCGGCTCGGGGAGCGCCGCCTCATCAATCCCCAAACTGGTGACCACCGTACGTTCCAAACGGATCCCGGATCATCTTCATCAGGATCCCGAACACGAAAATCATTCCGGTTACGCTCCGTGGTATCTTCACAACGCGCAACGTGCTACCATTTCGCGCCCCTGACCTGACGCTATTCGCACGCCAGCTTCTTCTTCGTCCATTACGTGCATCGTGCATGAGTGTATTGTGTGTGAAACCTTGTGCTTAATAACAACTGGACGCTAAAATCATAAACCATCTTAATCAAGTGAAGTACAATCAAAGACTGTCCACCAGCATCGCAGCCACACAAGTACCACTTCCATCTTGCTCCGTCTAACTTGTGCATCATGCGAAAACATTGAACTTTACAGTGCTCCGTTCATGTACCATACTTATTTCTCTGTGTCATTGCTAATCTGTGTGTAAAACTACAATATTCCTAACCTAACCCAACTTAATAACATAATTCAATTTAAACTAGGTAAATTTATTCATTCTTATCAACTTGTATTTGAATTATTAACAATTAACTTTCGGTTTACATTAAATACTTTGTTTGTAATAATTAAGCATTTACCAGGTATTTATTGCATGTAATATGTTGGTTTAATTAAGGTTATTGGTTTCTATTGCTAAAATTCCTACCAATTTGATCTAACCTGTCTTATGGTTTCAAATTTGCAACGGCCAAGTGTGTGTATCATTGTTTATTTTATTTTTATCTGCATATTGCATCTAAAATTGATTATTTTTAATATTGTTAAATTGAATTTCCTAACACCTGCGGAGAAGGATATTTTAACCCTTAACAGCACATTTTTTTATTTTTTAACTTTGTTTACTTTCTGCACAGTGGTACAGTTACATTTTCAACATGTCTGACACAGAACTAAAGGCACAGCTAGAGGAACTTATTGCCAAAAATAGAATTTTAGAATCTCAACTCAAAGCACAATCAGAACCCAAACCTGGGACATCCTACGAACAGGTATGCAGGGTGTCAGTAAAACTACCACCATTTTGGACTNATTTTAATAGTTTTTGTTGTTCTGCTAAATTATTTTGTGTATTGTGCAATTTTTAGAAGTAGCCTTTTAGTAAGTGTACTTATTTTTCGCTAGTATGATTTTCTAGATGCCACGAAGGAAAAATTATTGCACTTTCTCATTTCTGCAGTAATATCAAATTTTACTTAGACAGCTCCCGGTAAAGGCCCTGCAGAGGTGGTCGGAGTTGTTGTAGCAATTCCTTTTAAGGAATTGCTATTAACCATATTTTTAGTGGTACGGTGACTATGAAACATGTTTAAGTTGTCAAAAACAACTGTTACGTGAATCCTACAGAAATCTCATTTGATACTCAATTAGGTACCTACTGTGTTTAATATTTACTAATTTGTTAAGCATATTATCATATCGAAACCATGTAGGTAGCATATCGGAAGCATGAGCAGATAGTGCCAA